TTGTTGGGGTTTTGTTTTTCCTTTTGCTTGAGTTTTTTTTTTTTTTTTTTTTTGTCTGCCTGTCACTGCAAAAGGACACAAGCGAAGCTTCACTGTCTTTAGAAGTATCTCTGAAAACCAGAAATAAGTTTAGCTCGGATTTCTTTCTCCATTGTAAATATTACTCTATCTAGTTTGGCTCTTTTTATGCATAAGAGCTTATGCTTAAAATAGACATTAGAAGTCTTTTTGAGTCCCACAATCCATTTGTTTACAATTGTGTGACTGTGTCGCTGTAGCACATCTGAAAATGTTTCCATGTGGATGTCTCCTCAGTTGAGTGCCTCCATAATGTATCATTTGGGAGCAGTTTCATGATGGATGTCTCTCTAGCCCTGTTGCCAGGCACTGGAGGTAAGCACAAGCTGCTCTTTCAACACCCTTTAAGTTGCACACACATTTTTCCGTTCACATCATTCTTCTCGTTTTGGTGTGTTGCCGTGCTCTTCCACCCGCCTCTTGCATGTTAAAACTAATATTCTGATATTAAGCCCATGGTTTGTGTGCTTTGTCTTTATGTGCGTTTCTAGTTCCCATACTGGCCTGCGGAGGCGATGACTCCAGGGTGCATCTGTATGTGCAGGAGAGCGGTCAGGTAAGCTGGCCTCACTACTCCCCCAGGGGTAGGTTGTTCATGAATCCTAATTGTTTAATCTGAGCTTCTGAGGCTTGAAGGCAACTACTGACTCTGTGAAATGGCTCCCTTGCAGCTGCAGAAAGCCATGTCGCTGCAAGGGCACGAAGACTGGGTCCGTGGAGCGAAATGGGCCTGTACCGGTGAGTTTGTCTGCTAAGGTGCAACCAGCACTCTGTAAACTCGAAAGCCAGTTTCTGTTGCCTCAAGGAAAGAAGAATTGCATGTGTTTATATGCTTTTGAAGTATTCATTATGACTGGTAAAATACATGAAAAACGGCTGTTGCTTTAACTAACAAGCTTAAGACATCAGGAACTTCTGGTTTTGCACCTGTAATGTAACCTGTATTCTTACCTTTGTCAGTTGCAGTCCTTGATAAAGAATCGTAATAATCAGATTTATAATTTTCAAGTGTTACCTTATCTATTAAAGCATTGAATGAGCCCCCCTCCCCCCAAAAAACCCAGACTGACAGAATGTATTTATGTTTGGATTAATGGTGTAGTTCTGAAAATAATACATTGAAATAGGATCATTCTGAATCTGTCTTTTTTGTTTTGTTTCTTTCCCCATGTTGCTTGGTCATCAGATAATTAGTGGCTCTACTGGCCTTAAGTGAAGGTTACAACCTGATGCACTGGGCTGGTCAGCAGCAGCAGTGGCAGGAAAAGCAAATCCTTACTTTATAATTAGGATTCAGTGTGTCAGTGTCACAAAAATATAGTTTCTAGAACGACAAAAGTGCTTTCTCAACTGTCTTTAAGCCATTTAAGAACAAACATAAGCTCTCCTGTCACAATTGCATGCGGTTTTGGCAGACTTTCAGTCGGAAACCAAAACAAATTATAGTTTGTGTTATCAAGTGTCAGTGCTTTGATTGAATAGCTTGGCATCTTTCTCAAATGAGGAATTTATAACATTATGATAATATGTCTGTCTTTTCTGGCACGGATGAAACCGGACTAGTCACCACAGTAAAAAAAAAAAGCTGACATGCATTATGTATAAAGACAGGGACATTCAGTAGAAAACCAGCATGGGCTTTGTCTGCCACCTGTCTGTGTGTTGGCTTGTGGTCCTGCTGTCTTATTGGCTACATCACAGTTAGATGCTAACCTCTCATTGATCCCTGATGGAGCAGCTGTTAAATTCTCTGGACATGATACCTTGGGGTATAGTGATAATTATAACCAGAAAATTAAGGGTCAGGTCCCTCTTTGTCCAACATTTAACAGCGTAATCGTGATCATCTTTAATTTAAGCTGAATTCTAATACAGCCTGAGCTCATCTCATCTGTTTAATTTGGCCGTTTTTGTCCTTTGCTCCTTTGCTTAAGACCCCAACCTTATGCCCATGGCTTTCAAATCAAAACTAAACAAAATATTTGCAAAGATTTCTCAGTGCTTGTAATACAGCTTAGAAAAAAAAAAGAAACTAAGAATACAAAGCAACATATATAAAAAAAACAAACTTCAATACAATTAAGAAGTTGAAATGTAAAACTGCTATTATAAAAAAAATGTAAAACTGTAAAATAATACTTTAATGAAGAGAGGCGGGGGGGGGGACAGTCCATTAAATGTAAACTATACAAGTTTCAGTGTTCACATATATGTGTCTGGGTAATTTTTTCTACATGAGATGTAAAATAAAGAAGCTAGCCAATTGTTTGTTTACTGGTGGCAAACAATTTTGAAACTGGGGTCCTTTAAGTGAGACAAATGTATTAAGAAAATGTATTAAAAAAATCTTAAAAGATAATACCCTTTCTGGATTTTACAATGATGCCACTGCATTGGCTCTTGACCTAAAACTTTCAATGCTTAATTATATAAGGGCAACATAGGCTTTAAAACACATTGACTAGTTTGGTCAATCAAATTTGCAGCAGTTTAGTGTTTTCATTGGTCTATTTTTTACTTTATGATACAGAACATTTCCATCCCCTCCCCCCTTTTTTTGTGTGTGATTCATAAAACTCAGCTGAACTCACTCTTAACAGGTCCTGCATTAAAAAAAAATGTCATTTACCGAATGGCATTTTATGACAACAGTCATAAACATTAATGAAGACTCCTTCATGTTCATTACAGGTGTTATGTTTATGACAATGTCATGTTGGTCTTCCCCTCATCTATTATATGCATAATATAAAGTAGATGTTGTGTGTAGTTCACAACACCATATTCAGTATTAGACCTTGTAACTTTGAGGCTTCTTAGAGAGCAGATTTTCAAATTTCCTCTCTCCGTGTCTCATTCAGGGGACGAGCTGTTGTTAGCCAGCTGTTCACAGGACTCTCTCATCAGAGTGTGGAGGCTCTGTGCCAAATCTGGCATAGACACACACACAGAAGATGATCACACCGTCATCAAAATGAAAGAGGACGTTTTTGAAGTGAAGGACAGAGGTGAATGGGCCAGCCAGACTTGATTACAGAAAAAATGTGTTAATTAAGCAAGTGAGGAGAGATTATTATTATTATTATTATTTTTATAGAGAGAAAGACTTCCATGTTCCCTATAATCAGTACAACATATATTTGTATTTGACTTCATATCAGGGCATGTTTACCTGATATTACTGACGTGTCTGTTGTTGTCACTTGGCCGTTTTTGTTCTTTTCACAGGAATGGTCTCGAGGTTTGCAGTGTCCCTGGAAACTGTCTTGGCAGGACATGAGAACTGGGTTTATGGAGTCAGCTGGCAGCCCCCTGTCTATGACGGTAGTCTAAATTAAAAAGGCATTAAGGTTTTTTCCAAGGACTCCTGCACAGTATTGAGTAATATTTAAATTTGTCATTATGCAATTATGGAAAAAAGAAGATAAATAACATGGTATGAAAATATGTTAATCATTTCTTATTCCATGATATAAGAGATAAAATAGAAATTTCTGAAGAAAAAGGAATACTTGAATTTATTTATATTTTGGTGTCCTTATTTAATTTTCCACGTCAGAAGTTTTCGTCCAACTTCTCATGCCAAATGGAGATGTCTTTTTCAGTGGTTGTGTTTGTTTGCAGTTCTTTAAACAATGGCTGCCAAACTGAGTCCAGCTTAGATGGCAATCACAACAAATAAGATCACATTTTTAATTTTATTTATTTCAGTTATCGTTTAAACTGTGTTAAAATGTCACATATCAGAAGTCGAGATTCAAATAATCTGTATTTATTTTATGTTTGAGTGATTTAGGTTCTGAAATAGAACTGATCAAAGAGTTTACAGATGCTAAGAAAGCGGTTCATCCCTTCACGACACTGCTGAATCGGATAGAGTGTGTATCATTGTACTCCTTCTCGATTTGATAAACATGTAAACGAATAAAATCCAATTAGGTAACGGTTTTGTTCTCAACTCTTCAACATGTAATAAAAAAACATCTCGACATATAAAGTTGTAGAAACCACGTTGGTCTCTAACAACGCACATTTTTTTAGGATGCTATGAAATTATGGTTGCTTGGTCTTTATAATTTATACAATTCCTGCTTTGGATAATCTGTTACTCCTGTGACTGGCACAACATGTTATGTTTTTAGATTTTCTAACAATTAGCAAAAATTGTTTTATGGGGAGACTGAAATGACATGGTTGGATGAACAAGAAAACATTCACTCCTTTGAATTTGAACTTGGAACAAACAACTTGAAACTGGGTCTGCAAAAAAAAAAAAGACCTGTGAATACCTGTGAGAGCCTCTGTCTCGATAGTCTCCTACAAACAAGATTAGCTGTGAACGTTCATCTTGAAAGCATCTGAGTGTCTTTGTCTCCCCCTGCAGGTGGTGAGCTGCAACAGCCTCTTATTCTACTCTCAGCCTCCATGGACAAAACCATGATCATCTGGGCTCCTGAGGAAGGATCTGGTGTCTGGGTAGAGCAGGTAGGTGCTGACTTTAGTAGTATGATGGTTTATGCAGATACACGCACACACACGCTCACACACACACACACGCACATTCACGTCAAATCCATCATTCTCTGCTGCCAAAACGGGGCTTTCACAACCCAGCTATAGAGCCAACCTTCTTTTCAGTCTTTTCTCTGGCCATAGTCCACCTCTCCTGCTTTGTCTCCACTATCTCAGTTCCCATTCCTTCTGACGTTGAGGTGTCAGAAATAGCATTGACAGACAGTGATGAGGAGGAGCTGAGACTTGTGCACTACTGAGCTCAGACAAGCTGATATCGTCCCCTCGGATGTTTAACTCTTTCACCCTCCCGCCCCCTTCTTTTGCAGCACATTTCCCAATGCATAAAAGTAGAGGGTGATGAGAAGCTTCTGTTCTAGCTCTTTTTTTTTTTTTTTTTTTTGGTTTTTATTCATTTAATGAATGACAGTGTGAGAAAAGCAATCCAACATTTACATGTGCTTAGAAATAAAACATAGAAGGTGAGAGGTTTTGGTCACAGCAGGCAGTTCTGGACAAAAAGGCCGTGGATTAACTGGTTGTTTACAACAATTGGGTTGAAAAGAACAAAGCGAACAAAGCTGGAATGAGAGGAATCGGCTCCCGGTGAATTGCAGGAAAGGAGACTAGACTTTATCGAACTGGATTAAATGATCTCAGAGGGTTGTTTAGAGCTTTTTTAAATGTTCAACAGTCTGTTAAAAGATTAAGCCATTGATTTATTGATTGTTTTGTTTTCTCGTCGCAGTTGAGTGATATCGTTTTCTCGGCCCCGAATTAATGTAATTGTACCAGAGGACAGTGATGTCTGAGTTGTTCTGCGCTCTCAGAACAAGAAGTAGGAGGACGCTTTGGATTCGTATCATGCAGTTTTCTCATAAAATCTAACCAAAGCAGCTGAACTGTAGAGCACAGTTGCACAGGGTTTTACTGAATGTGAAAATGTACAGATAAAAAAGCTGATTTTAGTGTTTTCCGAGTTTGAATAAGTGGGGAAGGAAAGTGTGGAAAAATGCTTGCATTTCCAAACTCATTGTTTATCCCATTATCTGAATGCGGCCCTTGTGTCCTTTCTTTCTACATGGTGTCCCTCCTTCCTTTCTTCCTTCGTTCCTAGCTTTTGTAGCTTTCTGTTCGCTGTAGACGTTTATGCAATAAATTCACCCGAGAGCTGTAACGTTTTTGATAGTTTAAAAAGAACACAAAGTACTAAAAACTCTGAAAAGGCGAGTATAGAAAAGTCAGGAGTTTTTGTCGTGAAATTTCCAAGCTGATTGTTTTTTTTCTTTTTCCCCAGAATCTTCTTTTTCTTTTATTCCCCAAACTAAGCTGTTAAAACTTCTGTCTCCTCCTCTCCCCCTCCTTTCTCCCTTTCTCTAGCTCTCCTGTTTTCTCTCATTTAAATGGAAACTTCCTCTCTTTGTGCTCCCAGCAGCTGAGGCTGTGCCAGAGTGGAAGCTCAATTTAACACAAGTGTGGATTGGGAGGAAAAAAAGAGCAGTTCTCGCCCCATCTGCTCCACACCTTTTTTTTTTTTTTTTTTTTTTTTTGTTCCAAAACGCATCATATTCTCAGGTGGTTCAGGACAGCACACGGCCTCTTGCTCAAATATTGGTCCAAAATCCAAAAATAAAATCAAAGACGTGTTCGCATATGCACAAATCCTGGAAGTGTGTCCTTTCAAATGAACACGCACGGCTGAGTGTACAGAGACCCAGTGTGTGATTGCTCTCCAGGCTGATGAAGATTCACTGCTTGATCTATTACTTTTTGGGACCTTTGATCCCTTGGTTTTATTTCCACGGCGATTAGCAACAAAGTTTAGTTTTCTTCCTCTGAAATGCGGGATGATTAGGGCCTAAAGCCACTGAGAATTTTGCATATTCTTCTCTTAAAAAAAAGAGGTTGGTATAGGTGAAGGGAGGATTATTTATTTATTCTTCCAAATAAATAAATAATCCTCAGACCTGGAGTAACCTTTGTGTTGTTTGTGTGAAAGTGCATGGCATATGAGTCCTCTTTCAGTCCCTCTGTTTTCTGTTTGAGAAGCAAACCCTTTGAAGTGACAGGATCCCTGTCTACAAAGGGGGATTAACCTCTGAAGCTGTGTGACACACAGACACAAACCTCCATGTACAACAGCAAAACCTTTCGAAGAAAACATTTCTACACGCGATTCTAAAAATTAGCCCTGAAGGCGCTATCGTTAATGTAGCCGAAAGATCCTCGACCGCACCGAGACTGAGGTTTTTGGGCGTAGTAGTTTCTGCGGCGCTAAATGGACCAGCCTTGTTTGTCTTTAATTAGTCGATTTTTTTTTTTTTTTTTTTTTTTTTTTTTACAGAGAAGAGCTTCACATCTTCACTCTGATTAGAGTAATTGGTGGGATCTGAAGGACAGCGGGATTAGCAGTGGGGCGGTCAGAGCTTACCACTGTGGGGGGGGGGGACGAAGGGACTTTTAGTTTGTGTTTAAGCGATAACCTTTTCTAAGCCTTACTTCAGACTCAAAAAATGTCGAGGACCAAATAAATAAAATTTAGATTAAAAGCGATTTGCAACGACATGCAACTGATTTAATGGGACAAATTTTCTACATTATAAGTTTTATTTGAATTCTAAAATGCCATATTATTGATACATATTTAGTAATATGGTCATGCCATAACGTCTTAAATGGGATGTAGGACTAGACTTTGACTAAGCCACTCCAAAACTTACACCTTTTTTGGGTCAGTCAGAGGTGAGCTGGCTGTTCAGTGTCCTGCTGCTTGAGATGTTTGAACTGAAGGTCGCCAACAGATGACGGGTTACTAGCAAGCAGCCTCAGCATCATAGCATCACCACCATGTGTAACCATTAGTATGTTTTTTTTTTTAATTTATTTATTTTTCTCAGCCACACCTTCCAAAACATAACCTTTTACTTCAGTAGTCACTCATAAGTCTTGTATGTCATCAATGCATCTTTTTTTTCGGGGGGCGAGGCACTGACCCAAAATTATATTTGTGGGTATTGTCTTTGCCCTCTTTTTTTTTTTGTTGTCGTTGCTGGAACTAGAGAATGTGGCCTAAAGCGGGTGCTTTTGAATTTGTCCAAGAAAGAAGCCACTCTTTGTGCTTGGCTATGCAATAACCTGAAGGGTAGATTCGAGGACACTTTGTGGGGCTTTTTCTGCTTGGTTAAGCCTGCTTCATGTTCATCCCAGATCTCTCTCCAGGAGCCATATACACAGTCCTATCCCTGCCGTCCTTGTTGCGCTCCTCTTCAGCAATGCCACTGTCCAAGCGTAGGCCATGTATCCATATTGTTCCTCTTCATAAACACGACAGATGACAGCAGTATGCGTGTGTGTGTGTGTTTTCTTTTTCATGATTTATAGCCTACTGTTGTGTGCCGAATTTTAAAATCAATCTGTTTAATGTTGCATCTCTTCCCCTCAATCTCACCATTTATGTCCCTCCCAGGCTACTTCTCCTCCCCCTCTGTAGTCTTTCGTCTCCCTCAGCAGAGGATCAGGCCATTGAACCTAAAGACATGCCTTTGTCGCTGCCATTTGTTCTGCTGCGGTCCAGCATTCTTACAGACATTATTTAGAAGGTCACTGATGACCATGGAGAAGCCCGCACGATGGACGAGGCTCACCTCTCTGCATCTAATTTGTGTGTTTCTGCTTGGGGTCAGTCATGCATTTCCTTCAGGAAAACGGTCATGTTGTGAGGCACGAGTTAATTAAAGATTGAGTAGATATTAAGCATTTTGATTTGGGTTCAGAATGCTGCAAATGATCCAGTTCTCATCAGTCTTTCCTTTGGCTTCGATGCACCTGTCAGTGTTTAAGGGCCAGAAAAGGGTTTCATTGGTTTTATTTCTAATGGTTCAGTGTATTAAGCTTAGCGGTGTCACAGACCTAGCCCTTCACCATGGCAACTAAGTGTCTTCCATGAGACGTATCCTCTTTTGAAGTGAGTAGAGGGGAAATCAGGTCCTTGTGGCCTCAACAAAACTTTATTTTATTGTAAATATTTCAGTAAATTTCAGTGTTTTGTGTTTATTTAATCTAATTTCATATTCCCAAATTGAATCAAAATTGTATTGCATATAACATTGAAAAAAAAAAAGAGAGAAAATAATGGAGTTCATATTCCAGTTTGGTAAATTCAACATTAATTTTATGATTTTGTATTAGTTCTTTCTTGTGGTGAGGAATCTAATTTGGTTACTTTAATTAGAAAATAAAATTGAGGAACTGACCTTATTATGCTGCTATGAGTTTCTTTAGCCTAGAAACACAGTGAGTCACATTCTTGCATCTGAAAAAAAGAAAACAAAAAAAAAAACTACTTTGGATATTTTTGTGGGGTAAAACAATTTTTATTGATTTGAACACACATTTTAAAATGCAAGACATTTTAAGAAGGTTTCAGCTACCTTTTGAAAGACAAACAGACCGTACTGTAAATACGAATAGGTAAATAAATAGAATTTCAGTTCTAGTTTTTCCTCATTGCCTCATCAACAACTGCAACGCCGAGTTTAAAGTGTTTCAATAAATTATATTTGAGATCATTGTTAATGGGAGTAAAAAAAAACAATAAGAGCAAATCTTTTTATTGGAAATATTGTATCACAACAGCAGTGATACAATATTATGATTTTCAGTATTTGTAGTGTGATTTAATTTCCCAGTTTCTCTCAACGAATCTAGAAAATGTTAAAACTAGCCTAGTATTTATCTTTTTTTTAATCCATAAAAAGCAAAACTGCTGCTTTTGTCTTTTTATTGTTCAACTTTTATTAAAATGTTTTTTTCTTCTTTTTTTTAACGTAATTTGTTTAAATTGTTACTATGTCATGTCAGCATAATATTAGACAGATGATGTGTGTAAAAAATCGAGCTGCTCTGCTTTCTTCCTGCGACAGCAGTGTCAGGTTTTGTAACGCTGCTTGTTTTCTTTGGAGGGGAAGGTCATTTAACTGAGAGCCATCCGGCTAACTCTGCTTCTTGAAGGGATCGCATTTGGCCAGGGAGTGGTCTGTCAATGTGGATAGATTGCATTAACACTGTCAAACTAATGAAGATGCGCTTTACTGCCTACCTCTGAAAGCGGTCAAAGGAAATCCCTCCTCACTTGCTCACTTTCACATCTGTATTTGGCCATATCCAGACACAATCGGGTCATTCACGCTGCCAGGATCTCGGTGCCAGACGTGAACAAGGTTGGAAAGTAATTTCTCAGTTTCAGTCACCACCTGAATGAAGTGCTGAGGGTTCGGAGGCTAAGCCTAGGAAATGGGATTCAGCCTTGTTGACACCAAGATGAAACTCTTTGCTGCAGTTCTCTTAACAAATAGCCTTAAAATAACTTTTTTTTTATCATCTTCCTTAGCATCTTGCTTATATCGTTCCTAATTTGCCTTATTTTCTTTTTAAATGAGCTACAGGACGTTTAGAATAACCTCAGCTAATGACCTCTGATGATGTCAGGCTTGGAAAATATTAATTTGTCAGTGTAGCTGCTGTTTTTACTTAAATCAAACAGTGCTCTCTGCCCCTGGTCGTCACTTGAATCCACAAAGCCGGTTTCATAGCCGTCTGTATGAACAAAAGCACCGTGCCTATAATTGGAGAGGTGGTGAAGATCCTAAAATAGTTGAGTTTTTTTATTAATTTTTTTTAATGTTCCGCCATTGTTCTCACCGCAACCTCACTGATTACTTGTGTTTTTAAAGTGAACTAGTTTTTCCAGTGGAAATTCAGCCCAGATGGAGAGTTTGCATTGTGCAACTGAGGACGACACTGCGGCCAGAGACTCTCATCCAAATCCAGTTTGTGCAAAACCGTCAGGGTTCTCAAGCTGTGACATTTTTCATGATTAGTCGTTTCGTGTAATATGCTGTGGCGAAATTGCTTTCATTATTTACCAGACAAATCTATTTTTGTTTGCAGGAAAACGTGGGGTTTATTCAAGTCTAATGAGTCCCATTTTGTATAATTTCTCATCTGAGTTGTCAGCTTAATCTCATTTGCCCTCTTTTTAATTCCCCTCCTCGCTTTCTGTCCACCATCATGAAGTCTGTTAGTTAATGAGACTTTAAGAGAGACTGAAACTGCATTTGAGAGGCTTTACTTCATCCATATCTTTTGTTTCCTTTAATTGTCATTGTTCAGAAGGTTGGGGGAAAACGGTGTACATAGGACTAAAGAGCAGTTGTTAAATCCTTCATCAATAACTGTTTAGAAAACGCTGATATAATTAAGTGGGTGACCTTTTTTCCACTTTGACACGTACATGATTTTATTTATAAAAATTTTTGCAAGGCACATTCACTTGATGAGTGACCCAGTAACTAAATGTTCTCCACTACCTAATGCTTTGTTTTGTAAATGTGTTGAAAAAAGCAGATGACTCAGCGGTTCGATGCACATTTTATTTTCTCTTCAAAACCAGGTGCGCGTCGGGGAGGTAGGTGGAAACACTCTGGGCTTCTACGGCTGCCAGATGAGTCCAGACGGCTCGATGATTCTGGCTCATGCTTTCCACGGAGCTCTACACCTTTGGTGCAAGGATCAGGATAAAGAGGTGACGATCACAGCTGTTTCAATACATGTCCTTTAAAATTAAATCTTTTAAATTTACTCTATCACTGTTTTTGTAAAATGTGATCTTGGAAAGCAAAAAAAACAAAAAACAAAACAAAACTACCTTCATTTATGAGAAGTTTAGATGTAGAGTTGCACAGTTTGTCAATTTGCGAGGATCATCGTAATCCTATTTGCCATGCCGTTTGTATATTTACCTGATGTATGTGGTGGCGACATCTTGATAGTGGAATATTATTACTTACCTATATTGAGTCCAATCATGTCTTTGAGTTTCACTTATGAACAGCCAGATTTTGTACACTTTGACATGATAGTTTAACTTCTATTACTCCTGGATGGATGAAGTTATTTTTATCATAATGGCACTTTTTGAATTTCCCATAATTCTTTATCGCTAATCAGGCTGAAAGGAAAGACTAATACTCTATAAACAGTATGTTAAATCCCCCAAGCGGTCAAAGAAATCTTAGCTGAAATAATAATAAAAGGCCAGACTATCAACTTGTTGGTGCATTTAGAATGTCGAGGTGAGTGAATCTTCATCAGTGCAGAAAGAGCATCTGCATCGGATGACGGGAAGATGAATTATTGTCACGGCTGTAATGTTTGTAAGTGCTGCCCATTTGCGGTTTTTATTGCATCTTTAATTTCTTACGGAAAAAATTGTTTACATCACCACAAAAATATTTTACGGGCCGATTTAGTTTGAGGTCACATGACATGAGCCACAGTACTGAAGAATGAGTCGAGATATCATTTCCTTAAAATTGCACAAATTTGTACCTCACTGAAATACAAGGTCAATATTCAATATTATTATGTCAATTTAAAGAGTAAATAAAACCTATAATTCGTGGTGCTCTCCATGCAGGGAGGGTGGAGACCGGGGGTTGTGATATCAGGTCACTTTAATGCTGTCCAAGACCTGAGCTGGGATCCCGAGGGGGAGTTCGTCCTCAGCGTGGGCTCAGACCAGACCACCAGACTGTTCACTCCATGGAGGAAGCAGGACAGCAAACGGGTAAAGGCGGACGCAGAACGATTATAAATGTTTTCTGATTATAAAACAGAAAAGAACTGTGATCTAAATGTAGAACGTTTCATTTGATAGAGGACTTTTGACTAAAAAAAGTAACATTTTTTTTATTAAGTGCTACTTAATGCGAGGACAAATGTAATAAAGACTGTAGCGAGGTACTTCTCCTAAACAGAAAATATTTATGTCTGTGCAGCTCTATACAATAAAAAAAACAACAAATCCCATTTCTCCTTTTCCCACTTTAGCCACATAATCGTATCTAGATTTTTATTTTTTCTTTATTCTCATTTATGTTTTTTTTGTTTTTGTGGATTTCAACCCTGCAGGCAACCTGGCATGAAATCTCTCGGCCTCAGATCCACGGTTACGACATGCAGTGTCTGGCCATGGTTGGGCGGTTTCAGTTCGTGTCCGGAGCTGACGAGAAAGTCCTCAGAGTATTTCAAGCGCCTCGAAATTTTGTGGAGAACTTTGCTAGCATCTCTGGGATTTCGAAAGAAAAGCTGCTTCAGTCCAGCGTAAGCGTCCTCCGTTCTGTGGTTGCGATGCCGTGACACCTCTTGAACATTCCCGCATGTTTTTGAGCTGCAGCCACAAACTTCAGTGTGTTTCACTGGGACTTTACGTCATAGGTTAGCATAAAGTAGTACATAGTTGTGAAGTGGCAGGAAGGGGGAACATGGTTTCATGCTTACGTATTCAGCCCTTTGTTGAAAGGCTTTCTGCTGCTCCTACATCTGCAAGTCTATTTGAGTTCACCAACAGCTTCGCAGACCCAGATATTGAAAGCCATTTACATTCTTTATTGCAAAATAACTCAGACTGAGTCGGGTTAATGGAGAACATCTGTGAACATCAATTTAAAAAGTCTTGGCCCAGATTCTCAATTGGACTTTTGACCACATGAACACGCTTTGATCCAGCCTTGTCATTGTAGCTCTGGCTAGAGTAGGTAGTGAGAATTGGTTACACATGTTGGACGTATTGCCTTCCAACTGAAATCGTTGCCTCGTATTTTTTATTTCGGGGTGTCTTGTTGACAAGCTGAAAACGAATAAAACACCTCACCTTTCAGATTTTTGTTTGTAAATACTTTGTAAAAACCCTTCCACTTCATAATTTGGCACTGCTTTGTTTTTGTTTATCACAAAAGAGCCACACAAAATTCATTGAAGTTAACGATACTCGTAGCTTGCATAAATGTGAAAAAGTTAGAGGTATAAATGCTTCTGATGGGGCCCGAGAGACGGAGACCTAGTTGTTCTGTAAATGTGTCTCCTCCTCCATCTGTCTGCGTTTTCCCAGGGCTCAGCCAGCCTTCCAGAAGGAGCTAGCACACCTGCCTTGGGTCTTTCCAACAAGGCCGTATTTCAAGGTAAAATACTTTCCCAGCACAGCAGTTAAGTGTTTCACTGCTCCTTCTGGGGGCTCCGTTTTATCTTATAATCGCTTTTCATTCAAAAATCAATTTCACTTTAACTGCGTAGTTGGAAACAGCTGTGCCCAATCTGGTTTAGAAAGGTTTGCTCGCTGTTTTCATTCCATTGATGTGAATTTACAGGCGACCTTGTCCCGAAGACCGCCGAAGAAGAGGAACGGTTCAGCAGTATATCTGACCAATACCAGGAGTCGTATTTCCACCCGCTCAGCCTGACTGGTACTGTAAAGCTCATATTTATCTTCAAATGTGATAAACCCTCCAGATTTAAAAGGGGTGGGGGTTTTATCTTTTTGTATGGCAAGAGGCAGTGATGGCAGCTAAAATGAAGAATTTGGAGGGAGGAAAAAAAAACATGTTAATGTCATCACTGGTCGTGCACCTCTAAGTAAAAATATCTTCTTAGGAACTGAAATTTTTTGGTAGGGAAACACGATAAGATTGCCTTGAGAGGCCAAAATCCAAAATGTACAAGAGCCAAACAGTGAAGCATTTTATTCCCCCTGGACTGGAGGGTGTTGAGGGCTGTCATCAGCATGAGTGAAGCTGCTGCTTAATCTGCAATGCTAATTAGAAAGCAAGCTTATGGGACTGCAAAGCTTAAGTATCGATAACCCCGGGGCGGTGGGGGATCTGCAAAGTGTGCCAACTGCTGTTAACAATGTATTTTCTCTTGTTAGATTGGCTTCTCCGGGCAGGAAGAGTGAATAATTAGGTCTATATGACGAGCTGATGACCAATAACTAATAGGACAAGGAGCGTACTTTTCTATTCCATTAAACTCCACGGCAAGACGTCATTGTACAGGATCTGTTATTGAGGGCAAAATTTGAGTCTTGCCTTGAGTCCATCCCCTGGAAAACTTAAGGACTGAAGAAATTTCAAACCAAATGAAAACTGTGAACGCGAAGAAACTTTTGTCCTGCTCTCACTGCAGCATGTAGCTTTTAATTCAATCTCCTTATGGCGCTCGTGCCGTTTCTTTTCCCTTTTAAATGATCCTCCTGTTGCATTCGGGGCCTATCTATCAGTCTTTAACAGTACAGGGATTTAAGCAATGGAAATGTATTCATTTGAGTATAATCCAAACATTTTTTTTAACTCCACATTTAAAAATCAGAACAACCCAGTTTTTAGAGCCTCGCAAGCAACATTTTTAAGGATTTTAAACTATGTTCTCATTTTTGTATGCGTCTGTGGTTGTGTGGACTTAACAGAGCCGCCCCCAGAGGATCATCTCCTCCAGAATACACTGTGGCCCGAAGTCCAGAAACTGTAAGTATCAACTTTATTTCTTTTCTGTTTAGTACCTGCTGTTAAACGATTTCAATTTTTAATGTCGTTTCTCACGAGTGATTTGTCCGTTTCTTACACCGACCTTCACTTTAATTTAAAGTGATGCTGCTGTCATTTCAAATTAGAATCCATAATTCTAGAGTTGAAAGACCTTGAAGAAGTAATAGTACTCTTTTGATGATTTTCATGTTTTCAATTTTAATATTAGAATTGCCTGTAATGGACAAATACCGACTAGTACATAAAAATGAATTTGAAGGAAAAATATCAACGGTTTTCAATTTTCAAAGGAAGAAATTGCTTGGGTCAGATGAGAACAAAATTGACTTGCATGCAATACGTTGTGCGTGGAGGAAAACTAACACTTCCTATTATCCACATGCAGTGGGACCATCCGACTCTTAAGGTGTCGTAGATTCTGTTAGGTTTGCTGTGTTATACCATTTCAGCTAGTTTTGTTTTTCTCACGGCTAGCTTTTTAACTATTACCAGCTCTCTGTGAAGGATACAAGTGTGCTGTCGATTATCACAGATCTTCAAGCTCCTCAGGATCCATGTAAGGAGTCTTAGCAGTTCAGAGGTTTCTGCGTCTGGTCTTGAAGCCTCGGCTGACTGCTCTGCCATCCAGTAGCTGTATTTTGCCTCCTGTTATCAGTTGAACCATTTTACCATTGCGACTGCTTACAGTACTGCAACTGTGTGGCTAATCTTTCAAGAAATATGCTAACAAATTGTATTTTGAAACGTATAAATATAATTTCTTTACATTCTCAAAAAAAAAAACGAAAAAAAAAAAACGGTTCAAACAGCAAAACTCCTAATCCCAACTATACTATATGATTTTTGTGTTTGAAAACATTGCCAGTCAGAGCTTATTGTTATGACTGTGGTATGGCCGATTTTTAATACGGATCAGAGTCATGACGGTGTCATCCATCTCCACTGACACATGCAGTGGGAATTTGCTTTGCTGCTGGTTTGTTTTGTACATCATCTGTGTGGAGTTAGTCCAAAGCTGCCCTGGAAAATTTGAAAAACGTCTTGAGATTGAATCTGTATGTGATAGTTTGTCTTGAGGATGTTCATGTTGTTGTATGCAGAAACAATTCAGAAAATATGCATTAGTGTTTTTCAAAGAAGAAAAATTCAAACTCAGACATGGGAGTCTAGTGCCTCCTAATGTTACTCCTAAGCAAGCTGAGGGACTTTTCTCTTTGTTTTGCCAAAAGCATTTATTGTAACTGAGTCAGTGATTTCTAGAGGCTCCTCAATACTGTTCGCCCTCTTTTCTTGTCGGCCAATCAGAATCCAACTTTGAGCCGTCCCATGAGCCTCCTCTCTAGGATGGATATATTGTCTCCATTTGTTGCCAATGCTAAATCCATTTACTAGTCAATCTTCCATAAACATGACGTATGGCACAGCCTTTTATTTGAGGTGTGGACATCATCTGTGTTGGAAAGCAGTTTTTTTTTTTTTTTATCTGCCTCCATTTGGCTGCACCTCTTGAATCATTTAGTGCATAATAGAAACATTAAAATGAGTAAGTGGCCACATTATTTTTGTGGCATAAATAATGCTCTCACCATCCTGGCCAAATTAGTGTCATTTTTAAAAGCTTCCTGGTAGAGAAAGATGGGATTTTTTTTTTCTTCCCCCTACCGAACTGCAGACTGTGATTTTAGTTTGTTGACATTTTGAAATGACCGGGGTGATGGTGAGCTAAAAACGATTAGGCTTTGAGTGACTGGCTACTCCATTTGTCTTTTTTTTTTTTAAAATTATTATTATTAATTTCACACCATAATTATTTACCAGTTTTCAAATGATGGTGCTCAGAGTTTTAAAGCTGGTGTTTAGAACAAGTCGGATGATCGCTTTCTCTCTCTCTCTCTCTCTCTCTTTTCTTTTTTTTGCCCTTTGTCTTATCATCTGCCTGTCCTCCCGTATCTTTCAGGGCTGTTAAAGATTAATCTGAGAATGATTGCCCTTCTTTATCTTCAGGTACGGTCATGGATTTGAGATGTTCTGCCTCGCCTCTGACAGCGCCAAGACGTTGGTTGCATCAGCATGCAAGGTCAGTGTTGCAGAAACAGACTGGCTCGTAGTTTGGATTACACAAACCTCCTGTGCGTTACAGCATTAAGTCAGAGAGGAAATGTTCTTTTATGGCACACATGTTTCACTTCAAGGTGTGAAACCTATCAAGCACAGTCCCACAAAGGTGGCAGCAATCAATAATAACGTTTTCTGACTTCCACTGGCATAAATCGCTCTTATTCAGTTTAAGACATTTTCTGATTTATGTTGTTTGTTTCTATGCTCAGTCATTTTTTTTTAATCTCTGAAACTCTATATGTTAGTTTGTTTTAAATTACTACTAATTACAAATATTAAAACATATGTTAAAATCCGTCATTACTTGGCAGGTCATGTAGAGAGCAAAATTGTAATTAAAAACAGTATTAAAGAAAGTACTTAGCGGAAAAGTAGGAGAGAGAATTGTACAACCCACAAGAGAAACATACCATATGTAGTGATAAAAATTACAGCTCTTTTCTTTTTTCTTTTTTTTTCTGGATAATTCTACACAGTTTAGAAAAGAGATGTTTTTTTTTTTTTTTTAAAGCAAGAGAACAGTACCAATGATGTTAAATTGAACATGTAAAATTTCAAATACTTTTCACATCAATTTTCGAAAACTTTCTAAAAAGCAGGAAAATGCTAAGAGAAATCAGATCAATGAACACCATGTCTAAACATTAGCAGCTTCCACTTTTTAGGTTGAATTCTGTTTTTGAGTGATTAAAATAATTTTCAATTTGGTTTGGCTTATTATTGCTGCAAGAAAGAGCAAGACTTTCTGCAGATTAAAGATAGTTTCTCTGTTATATACTTCTAAGTTCTCAACTTTTGTCTGTTTTTTTTTTTTTGTTTTTTTTTTTTAAGGGTCCTGGTTTTGGAAAACCTCTCCAAAACAGACATTACTACATCTGACTATATTGTGAATTATGCGTACTGCTGTGCTGAATACAAAATGACATCCTCTTCTCTTACTTAGGCATCTAAAGCTGAACATGCAGCTGTGCTGCTGTGGAGCACAGCCACGTGGCGGCAGCTGCAGACGTTGCCGTATCACACCCTCACAGTCACCCAGATGGCCTTTTCGCCTGACGCAAAGTTCCTGTTGGCTGTTTCCAGAGATCGCACCTGGTCGTTATGGAGACGGAAGCTGCCAACACCAGAAAATCCAGGTGAAAAAAAGGAAAAACGTGGCTAACTGTGTCACGGTTAAACGAAGTGTTGAAAATGATTTTTTTATTTTTTTTTTAAATTCACATGGTCAAAGATCAACTTCCCTAAAGGGGGATAAAAATTTCACAGCAACACAAATGTCCCGCTAATTACCTACATAGCAATGGAACAGGAAGGAAGATTGTGACCATCTGTTCTGAAACACAGTCATGTGATTTTTAGTTGCTCAGATCCAAACCATAGTGATGCTTTTAGTTGTTTTCTAGTGCCAGGTTGGTGTGACGTGTAAAGAACCATCCATATTTCAAGTGTTTTGTCACACAATGGCATCAAGATGAATATTTTCATAATATTTTTTTTCTTTAAAACTGTTTAATTCATTTCTTCTGATGTTGAAACCTTTTCATAGTTAAATATTTAAGATCATTCTTCAAATGTTTAGGGGTAGGAGTTTATAAGTTCTCACTTCTTCCTACCCCATTTTGAGCATGATATGTTAACTGAAACAAAAAAATCTGTATTTTCTCTTCTTTCTTACGCACTTCTTGTTACTGTGCACTATTTTATTTTATATTTGTATCATGTTCGAATAAAATTTCATTTCATTTCAAAATTTGACTATGAAAACAAACAAAAAAACAAACACAAAAAACAAAACTTGGCCCTTGGAAGCTGTTTTCAAATTCAAAAATGAGTGATCCGAACTAGCATGGCCTTTTTTTTTTTTTTTTTTTTTTAAACGTCAACTTTGGAGGAAAGCACGACGATAACTGAGGAGTCTTTCAGGGAAGAGTCCTAAAAGCAGAAAATACTTTTTCACAATACTGTCCAAAGTTGTTAATAAATCTCCAAAAAAAAACAAAAAACAAAACAAAACACTGAGGTTTTCTTTTTTCATTTCAGAAATTTGGGCAGATGTGAAGTTAAACTGTTACCATTAACCATTAGGCGATAATTGTAGCTATTAAATGCAGTGCAACTCAGGATGAGATAATAGTTCTTCGCCGCTATGTAAATAAAGTTAAATTAATTAAAAATCCGTTTGATGGAATTTCAACATAATAAGACAACATCGGAGTCCTTTTGGCAGACACGAGCCATTTCAACTCAAATTAATTAAAATAAGGTAAACCCAATGATTAGATTTGTGCCAAATTAAATTCTATAGTCAAGTTATTTTGGATGGACTCCACTAATTTAATCCTGTGAAGAGCCGAGCAAACGATGTGTTGATTGAAACTCGGCCAAAAAAGGAGCGAATGCAGGAATGACTATTTTTAAAGATTACTTTTATGATTGGACACATTTTTCTCCCAACTATTCCCACACCGTATATAGCCAAACGTACTTCAAGAGTTATTCATACCCATTGGAATTCCTTAGTTCTTGCCATGGCACAACTCCAAACTCTGATACAACCTTAATTAAATTCAGTGCAGACAGTTTAGCCTTTAGAAGTGATCTATTTAGAAATCGTCCACCTGGGTGTAATTTATTAACAGACGCTTCTCCGTCAGGATTGTCAGACGACAAACGGCGTCACGAAGACCCGGAAAAACTAGATGTAGGTTGGGATTCATGCCTATCTTTTCTAAATATATTTCCTAAAATCATCTATTTTTTTTTTTTTAATCCATCTATGAACAAAGTGAAGTTCTGAAGTGTTTTTCTAGACTTGTTGTATTTTGAGGCTCTGTGTTTCTGGCAGCCGCAGGATTAGTTTGCTGGTGATGGCAGACTGTGACTATTGTTTGGTCTTTGTACTCGGAATTGCCACAGTTTGCCCATTTCTTGAAGAAAAGTTCTCTTCTGAGTGATGAGAATCATTGCCAGCTTGAGAAATAACGTAGCCATCACCACGCTGTTGGATGGACGTACCTGAACTTCGAACCCCCACCTATGCGTTTCCTGTAGATATAACCTGCCTTGCAGCTTTACCTTACATGTAACCCTGTGTTATCGGTGCTTGTTTTCTTTCAGCAGTCTCTGTTATTAACAGAAAGAAGAACGATATGCTTACAGTCTGAAATAAACGGGGAAAGCAAGCTCTACCGAACCTGGATTTCTGTTGGCCTTCTCGGCGTTTTGGGGTCCCAGTCGTAAACCGAAATGCGTCATTGACGAGTTAACTCGTATGAGGAAAATCTCTGCTCCCTAATTCAGACAAATAACTCAATCCTGCAATGACTGTGAGCGAAGCAGGACATTTAAGCCCAGAGGATTACCTCCCGCCTTTGCTGGGTCTCAGCGTTTCTGCTGGCTGCCCTGCCTTGGCCTTAATGTGCATTGACAGAGGGGATAACCAGACCCGCGCTTTCCGTTTCGCCCTGTGCAGCGGGGCTGCATGGAGGCGCAGCGGCGCGTGCGTGTGGTTTAAACAGAGGAGGGCGAGCGAGGGGAAGGTCGGGACTCCCGTCTGCTCTGCTTGACTGCTGAATCACTCAAGGTGATTGTGGAGAATGCAAACACAGCCTCGCCGGCTAGACGGGGGAAGGTTAAACGAAGTCACCGCACATCAAACAAACTGACTTCCTTCTCTTCGCGCGCCTCCTGTCTGCACGTTTCGTCTGACGCCTTTCTTTTCCCGCGTGGGTTTGAGCACCACCCCGTATCATATTATTCATCTTATTTGTGCCCTTTTCTGTGTTTTTGGTATAAATACGTTCGGCTCCGTATCGCTTCACTCTGGACTCCCGGTGCCCTTCTTTTTCTTTTCTCTCTTTGCGAGTAAGTAAGTCTTGTTGAATAAAGAGCTGTCCTGTCCTTCAGAGCCCCGCTAATGGACAAAGCGGCTGCACACATTTGCCCCCTAACAGCAAACCCGTGAATGTGCGCTTGTTTTGCTGGAGGAGAGTGTTTTTAAAAGCACCACAAATGCTCAGCTCGGTCTTTTGTGATAACTCCGAGATTTTACAGCTGCGTGTACCTGCCCGATTAGTTTTGTGTGTGCGCGCACACATGGGCACCGGTGCAGAGCGTGACGACCGCAGACTCACAGACAGACAGGCAGCTGCCGGCAGCATGCAAACAAGCTCTCTGGGGAAAACCAATCTAGGCTCTAAAATGGTTTAGGCCTAGGAAATAAACAGCAACGGCTCATAAACCAAAACTGACTGAAACGGAGGGGCTGGAATGAGGTCCTCCGTCTTGTGGGGGTTGTTTATTTGTCACCCAGGAGAGGCTTTGGTGGCCGCCGAGCAGGGATGCAGACATGCTGATGTGATGTTGTAATAATCATAACAGAGTTTGGCCATCAACTCATCCTCTCTGCTGAAAGGGAGATAAATGAAACGCGTTATTTGGCCTATGGCGCCTTTTTTGTCTTGTAGATGAATAAAATGTTCCCTTGTCGTCAGCCTTCCTGTTTGTCCCCCCCCCACTCTCACGCAGAGCCCCCGTTCTCGTTGTGCGCGCACACAGCCAAGGACACAGCCACGCACAGCAGGATCATCTGGTCGTGCGACTGGAGCCCCGACAGCAAATACTTTGTGACATCCAGTCGGGACAAGAAGGTAAACATCAAGTCTTGATCCAGTTCCAAAACCTCTGAATGTAATTTGCTTTGAAGGTAATGAAGTAAGGAAACCAGATGGCTGCGAGCGAGAGGGGAGCACTCCTCGACGCTCAGGCAGGGTTTCCGTGTGTTAACGTGTTGTTTAGGTGATCGTGTGGGGGCCGTGCGTGCCGGAGGGCTCTGAGGAGCCGGCGTTTCCTTCGGAGATCAAGCCGTGTTCCTCCATCTTAGACGTCGGGGATTCTGCTACGGCCGTAGCCTTTTGTCCGTCCCTCTGCTCTGACCGCAGGTACATGCTGATTCGGTGCTATTTATAGTTTCTTGTAAATATTTTCACATTTTCACACCCCTGCATTTTTTTTTTTTTTTTTTTTTTTTAAACATTTTGTCACATTATTGCTACAAACTTGAGTGTATCTTATTGTAGTTTTATTGGAGAGAAACACACAGTTATTGGGATTTGGAAAGAAAACAATACATTCAATTTTTTTTTTGCAAATAAAAACCTAAAAGGGTTGAAGTGCATTTTTTTTTTATTGAATCCCTTTACTCTGATACCAATAAATAAAATCCATGCACAGATTTGAAAATTATTTGTAAATTGGAAACCTGGCCTTTTTTGATCAAAAGCCATAAGAAGCTTTAGCTTGCACTTTACCTTAAACTTCCTGTTGCAACAAGACAAAACTGTTGACAACTTCAGGGGCTGAGGATACGTTTGCAAGTTGCTGTATTTTAACACAAAATGAAAATTTAAACAAAGCTACTACTTTATTGCCAGGCTACTATTTATTCAGTTATTTTCTGCTTTGAATCCACCAGCTGTTCTCTTTTTTTCCTGGTGAAACCTAATTTATTCATCCGTGGAGAAACTTTGAAAAAAGAACCAAAACCTTCCATGTCATCTGATTATTTCATTCCCTCTCACATGTGAACAAACTGATGTGTTCTTCCTGTACATTTTTGAAACAATATTTAAGGAATTACAATTGATCACCTTATTTTTTTTCCTACCTTTTTTTTATGCCTTAAAAAAAATGGGGAAAAAAGAATCCTGACACAAAGGATCATAATTCACGCATGAAAGGGTTAAAGATGATTACTCCTAATTCATCTTTTCTAAAAACAACCACCTGGTGATTCAGCAAAAAGGCATTATCAAAAAAAAAAAAGAAAAAAAAAAAAAGAAATGTAAGTTTGAGATTAAAAAGGTAATAAGAGGATTCTGCTCTACAGTTAATAGACATGCAATTTGTTCTCTTCTGCATTTCACAGCTACTTACTCGCAGTTGGTCTGGAGTGCGGACAGATCCTGCTCTACAGGTGGAGACCCGGTCAAGAGGGGGTTTCAGGGAGTGACTGGATTAGCGGTGGTGGGACGGACACCTTGTATCCTTCCAACAGGTGTGCAGGTCCTAAATGGAAGCAGAGGGGCTTCGGATCGACTCCGAGCTCCGATACGCTTCTTCTGCTTTATAGACTCAAGACTCGACTTAGACTCTGGGTCTCTGTCTTTATCTGCTTTGGTCAGGAGTGAAATTAAGTCTGTATGTAAGTCACAGACCACAACTCTCGACAGGTGAGCCGGATCATGAGGTGTTTTTTTTTTTTTTTTTTTATTTTTTTTTTAGCTTTGTACAATTACAGTTTGTTCACTGATTAATTGCTTATGACAATCTGTTAATGCTGGGTGATATGCCTCAAGCCCTTCTTGTTGTTTCTGAACAAAATGAATGTTCCTCTTGCGTCCCATTTACAAACAGTAATTTCTAGTTATTCAAAGTAAAAACTTCACTGCGTTTCACCCTTTTTTTTATTACATACCTTAAGTTTAATACTGAGACATGCGTAAAACAAATGTTTTAAAGAAGATTTCAATCACGACGTCCTAATAATCTTGCAAATCTTCCGACTCTGAGAAGAAAAGGTCTCCACAGCCAACTCTGTAGTTAATGACTGGAAAGTTTAAATGTAGGTATTAACTGTTGGTAGCTATGTGGAAGGGAAGACACTGGCAGTTCTTCAAAATAAAGCGCTTCCTGCTTGATTTATTCAGCTGTTCATCACAGCAATCCATGTTTAAATTGCTAATGGGTTAGATATTGAGCTGTTCAAAGTAGATTATTAGTATTTTTGCCTGTTGGATTAAATGTCAGAGGAAACTGTTGAATTTCCACGTTCAGGATTTTATTTCCTAATCTACAGTGGTGTGTTATAAGTTGAGTTAATTTCACTGCTGAATTTGGAAACCTTGTGTTCTTATTTTTCTAGAGTAAAAAAAAAAAAAAAGAAAGAAACAAGGCAGCAGGTACAAACCAGTACTTCATTGTGCTTTGGTGTTGCTGCCTAGTTGCCCTCTGTTTTTATCCAGACAGTATTTTTCTTGTGAGTTTATATTAGACGACCAGGTCTCCTCGGCTAACCTCCCCTGCTGTTTTACAACCGCCCCGTATTTTTCTCAGTTTGGCAATTTTCTGTATGAAACGATATCAGGTTTTTTACGTCCCAGGTGAAACATTCAGGTGAACTTTTTATTTTTTATTTTATTCCCCCCCCCCCCTCCTGCTGATGATGACAGATGGGAGCCGTCTGTACAGGACGTGCGCTGGATATTTGTCTACGTTTTTGTCTGTTGTTTCCCTTCATCAAACGTCCTTTCAAAGACAAAGCCACACGCTGGCGGTGAAGCGGCTACGCTGGAGGCCGCGCGCCGGTCGGGCCGGTCTGGAGAACGGCGAGATGGATGGGCCGAGTGACACGGAGAGAAAACTCGAAGAGAAGAGCTCCTGGGTCCAGCTTGCCAGTGCCGGCGCCGACCACTCTGTCAAAATCTTCAACGTCAACAAACGGACTCTTTAGCACCGCCACCACTGACACTATTATGTCTGTTGCAAGTAGAGAGAGATGGAGAGAGAGAGAGGCTTGGACTGAGGGCCAGAGGCCTGTGTGGGCCACAGAGACCACAGCTGCTCTCTCCCAAACCATTCAGTCCCTGTGACAGCGAGTTAGGCCACGGGTCAGTCAAAGGACAGAACCTGCTGCACAAAAGCCCCGAAGTCTGTCTGCACAGAGCCAAACGGGTTTGATGGGTGGAAGAGGGAGGGTAAAAACACCAGAGGCATTTGGTTTGGATACTTTACAGAGGAGAAACCTTTGCTCTCTATCTCATTGCTTGCCTATGGAAATATTTGTGTTGGACTGAATTCTTTAAGACGACAACTTTGTAAAAAAAAAAAAAAAAAAAAAGCTTTTTTTTTTTTTTTGGAAATTTTTTTTTTTTTTTTTTATAATTAGGTTTTCCCCAAATTAAA